TAATACAAACACAGAGCTGGAAGCGAAGCTGTGTGTCGGAGTCCAGGTCTGCTACGGTGGGCAGTGAAGGTCGTGTAATCCCTTACAGAAACTGCTGAAGCTCTGCGTTAAAACTAGTTTGGTGCCTGAGGGAGAGGGCTGCTTGGTCCCTTTACTTCTCTCGGGAAAGGTACTTCTGCTAATTTACCTTATGTCAATGTGATCTCCTCTCTCTTTAGAGTTTTCACATTGATCTAGTCATGGGAACAACCCTACCCCCATACAGATTTTATTTTGCTGGGTGAAGGAGGATAATTCTAAAATTGCTCCTATGCTCAGTTAGAAACTTACTGATGGATTATTGTGCTGCCAATAATTCACTAGTTGAGGTCCTCCACAGATCTATAATCAAGCACAATAAATTGTGGATATGTAGAGAAAGCATCCTCAGTAACAGTACTCCCATGGTAAGGTGGTTTCAATAAGGCGAATCCATTCACCTAAACGATACTAGGGAGTGGCACTTCAAAGATTTGAAAATATCACTAAATGGAAAAAAAATGACTGAGGAAACATGACAAATGTGAGTGTGTTTGCAGTTTTTCTGGGACAAACGTATGGCAGGTGATTTTGAGTCATAGTTCCAGCCTGGCAAAGGAAGCTGGTGCAGTAACTGCGGGCATCAGTGACAAAGGAAAAAGAATATTATCTGTATCCCCATGAGATGGCACCCTGCACCAGCAGTGCACACAGGGATGGGTTCAAAATTTTTTCTTCCCGGAAGGAGTGGATCACAGATGCTTCAGTGAGAAATAATTAATCCAAAGCATTGTGTCTCTGCTTTTGTTTCACAGAGGTTGATCTTAGTCTTCGTACAGTGGGAAAAAGATAAAGTTTCAGAATAATGTGTCAGGGATTTTTGTCTCTTTTACATATATGGATTTCCCCTTATATTTTGACTTCCTAGTCACATTGCGAGGCTATTTTCACAGGCTCTTCCAAGTAGTCAGTCAAATTTATCTATTAAGCTGATTTTTTTGTATTACGCCGAGCATTATGCCTGGTGCTAAGTGTTGGGAGCAACGCCTTTAGGGAAAATAGCCAGATCCTCAACAACCTGATTCCAGCACATAGGATCATTCATTTCCCATTCACCAGATTAAAGGCTTTGCTCTCACTGAAAGCTGTCAGCTGTTTGGTTGCCTATTTCACTTTTTTCCCAATGAAATGTATACCCCAGTCCAGAACAGCCTCACTAAAAAAAACCCAAAAGTGAGCACATGTAAGTATGAGAAATTAATTTCCTGTCCCTTATTAGGAGTAATCACTGGTGAGTAATACTTCTACGTCAGCAGACGTGTCTGAAGAAAACTGTGTTGCTACCATACATGTTGAATCAGTGTGTTGCTATGTGATGCCATCCTTTATGCGTATCAGTGCAAACGCCTTGGGAAGAAAGAGAAAAGAGAGACAGCTTGTTACTGTTCAGTTTGTGTCTCTCTCAATGGAACCATAGAATAACACTTTACTATCATGTTATTTTAATTTCAAAATAACTTGTGGTTTATAACTGTCGGTCTGATCTTTGCTAGCATTTCTTATGAAAATGAAAAATATTTTGGCTATGGCTTATTCCTGTTGCTAAATAGTAATCTAGACCCATGTTATTTGAGGAATACGAAAAGTTCTGCTGTGTATACCTGTTTACAGACACTGCAGTCTTACCCTTTGAATTTTTCTAATTGTGTTAAAATTGTAGGTCACTGAATCAAAATAAAAGTGTACAAATGATCTCCTATCATTGGCTTCCTTGCAAGATCCAAAGGTTACTGTGAAAGCTGTAACTTGTTTAGAAGACCTTTCATGTCTGGCAGCGTAGAAAGAATGCAGCAGTTTGTTCTACTCATTATTCAGTCCCACTTGTGTATGATTTCCCGTATGGCCTCCAAAGCATGACAGCATTAATTGCAATCAGACGTGCACTGAGCATTAGTGAGTTTGGGGAAAAAAAAAAAAGACTACAGTGGATGCTTTGAGTCTCTGAAATAGTTGAAATAGTTCTTCATGCTGTGTTGAGCAGCAGGAATATCCCCCCAAATGAGCTTGTCCAAAGAGCGGAGAGAAGGAGGCTGTTTTTCTTTCCTTTCCAGCAGCATGTAGGAACAGCGTTCCGAGGAGGTGTTCAGAGGGAGTGGCGAGGGGAGCCGGGGAGTGGGGGCAGAAAGCAGGCTGAGTAACAACAGAGTCACCTGGCTGGTTGCATCCCTTCTGCAACAAAGCGTGTCCGGCTTGCTGGTTCATAGGTGAAGACACACATACGTAACTGCTGGATCCTAGTGTCCAGCAAGGTCTTAGTTTGTGTTTTTCCTTGGGCTATTGAAGACCTGGAAGAGTGAGGACAAGAGCTCAGTTATTAATTTGTCAGTAGACTGTAACTTGTCTGTGTTACAAGGCTTCAGACTTTAATATTCAAAGTGTTCCATGTCAAACACCCATTGTTTCTACCTTATTTATTTACCTTATTTTCTGAGATAATATCACAGTAGGAGGTGTCCAACTCACAGGAGGCTTAAAAACAGTTTTGATTTTTTGATAAGGAAAAATCCTGTTATTGATTCTATTTTTTTTTTAACTTGGTGATAGAAATACAGGTCGTAATAGGTGTGTGTTGAAAATACTCTGAGATTAAACTGAACAAGACTAATTTAGTGAAAGGTAAATGCAGGAGACAGGGAAGCTGATGCAAGTAGTTGTCAGCCAGTCAGACTGAGAAAGAGATGCTTCTTATCCCTTGCAAACCTCAACTACCTGAGGTTAAGCATCTTCTACTTTTCAAGTTAGCATCTTCTGCTTTTCCACATCTTCCTGGTTGGGCTATAAGTAAGACTCAGTCATATGTCAGGAATTCCCATAAATATGAATAAGAAGGTACTGGGAAGTCACAGTTATTTTAACATTACCTCCAACAGCAAATGAGCCCAGAATATCCATTCTCAGGGGAAGCAGGACTGCCTTCTGAGCCACTCAGTTACCAGTGCCAGTGTGGACTCCTTCATTTGAAGCATCACAATTGCAGCAGTGATTATTAGTTTCATGGCACCATGACCAGAAATAATTAATTTCTCAGCAGTAACTAGGCCAGGCTGAAGGATTCTGTACAGCTACGTAGTGCCAGACCTCAGCTATCACAGAGCAGTTATCTAGTGGAGGGTAAGTGATGTTTACACACCTCCAGTGTGGCAATGTAGAGTCCTTTCCCTTTTCCACCGTCCAGCCTTTAAAAGAAACCGATGCACCTACTTATATCTGTATTTCCCACCTATCACTAACAAGGAAATGGATCTGGTGGGTTGTGCTGTCTCTGTTAAGGCAGTCTGGCTGTTGTCCACTTCCCTGCAGCTTATCCAGAAGCTCCTGAGCCAGTTCACAGTGACCATACTTGGTAGACCTCGGTCTGAAGGAAAGTTTGCTCCTGCAGAGACAGCGATGTTTGGCTGTAGATTACCTGCAGACATCTGAGAAAAGTCTGGCAACCAACCTTATTGTGGATTTTCATCAAAATTTCTTTTACAGAAGGCATAATTAGATACATAACAACGATGGCCCAGATGGCACAGTTTAGTTGGCTGGCCTGTATCTTATTTTAATTGCTTAAACATATCCACACCCTGTCTTTGTTATGAATTCACTCACAGCAAAGCATACAGATTTTAAATTTGCTGTCTGGTAATGATGGAGGGTGAACCCCATCTGCATCACAGCAGAAAGTAAAATATAATTTCCTTTGGGTAATAAGAGCTCAGGAGCCTTTTGGAAGGACACATGGGTAGGACGTGATCAGGACGCCGTGGCGTGGCGTGATTTATGCTCAAAGCAACACAGGAACGTGTCGTTCCAGAAGGAGATAACAGCTCCTCCATTCCCACTGTCACCGAGGAGGCACCGTGTCAGTGAAAACACATCCTTTGGTTTCCTAGCCCTTTCATTTGGGCAGCTGGGCTCACCAGCACTGCAAACCTGAAAGCAAACTCAATTACCTTGCATTTGCCTTTTGTAGCCTAAAAGTATGCAGGGCCACCTGGGGTTACTGGGGTGTGAACCTGAGCTGTGCCTGCGGTGTGGCACACCGATTCCTCATGGGGACCAAAGTGTAGCCATGGCTTCCCAGGGAGTACTTGCTGGTGTTCCTCACTGCAGGCGGCTCAGCTGCCCAACCGCAGAATGGTGTGGAACAGGGGCAGGCCACCTCTTCCTTTCTAAGGACTGCGTACATCTTTTAAATAAAAATAGACCTGGTGGGCTGCACCATCACCTCTCCCTCTCACTTTCTTCCCCCACCCTGTCATGTTCATCAGTAGTAGCGTGGACCATATGACGTGAACCTAGTGGTCCCCGTCCTGGAGGTGAAGGGATGGGATGTCCCCTCTGGCTGCTTCCCCTGCAGAGGACCTGGCTGCCTATGGGACGAAGCTCTTGTATTACAGCAACAAGAAGGGCAGATATTTTCCCTTGAGTGTTAACTCCAGTCTGACCTAGGGCTTTTAAGACAACCAAATACACACATATGCCCCTTACAAAGGCAGAGTTAAGAAACTGTCTTAATGCAGATGCAGATGCAAAGCGCCCAGCCACACACTCCTACTCATTTTGGTCGTCTTCCTGGGCATCTTTTTCACCATTACAATTTTTCTGCAAATAGCGGCAATTCCAATGTAACTTGGAGTACTGGTTTTGCTCAGAAGGTCTTTTAATTGCTCATCCACTCCTGTATTCTCTCCTTCGTAGTCTTCGTTCGTTCTTGTCTGTGCCTTTTGTACTGCTCTTGCTGAAGGCAATGCACACAGGCTGCTCTTTCCTGCCAGAGCTTGTTGTTGTCTTCAGTAGCTGGGCAGGCAAAGACAGCTCTGGTGTGAATCATTTTGCTCTTCCAATGTAGGAGTTGCCATGAAGAATGATTAATGGCAGAAAAAAAAAAAGAAAGCGAGAGTGAGAGGGAGTGTGTGTGTGCACAAATTAAGGTTGGGAAAGTGGGAGTGGTGTCAATGAGCAGGCAAGCTAAGAGAGTCTTCTGCTCGGCAAGGTTTCACCACGGGTAGCTAGTTCTTCGTGCTGTACCCATTTCATTGATTCGTTTACCAGGATTATAGCCTTGCAAAGTAAGTACAGATTTTTTTCTTCCTCTGCTACTTTAATTCATGCCTAACTAATAGTTAACAAGTCTCCATCGTGAAACATAATCGCGTAGAGGGGTTGGGATAAGGAAATTTGTACAAAAAGATGTCATGTGGAATTAAAGGAGCAAAAAAGCCTTCCCAAACTACAACATTTTGGTTTCATCCCCAAATTGCTGCATTTGCTAGGCTATATTTCTCCCCCCTAAAAAGTTTCATTGGAAGTGGTGAATAGGATCTGGCAGGTGAGACAGCAAGGGCATTAGGAATTATTAAAATGTGGTGGTTTATTGCAAATGGCTTTCCCCATATGAGAAAAAGCAGGTTGTGTATGATGCCATGAAAATGCTCCATATGTCAAAGTAGGAGTTAGACTGTTTTGTAAGTCTCTGTTACAGAGGAATATTCCTCTCATTTTCTGCAGAGGTGTGTATGCTCTGCTCTTCTTTGAATTATTAATCAAGTGAGTAATCCGCACTTGTTTAAAGTGAAGGGCAGGAACTTAGGTCCAGTAATTACCGATTTATTTTAAGTGTGACCTTTTAGTTTGAAGAATTCACTGGCTATTGAGGTACAACAAAGCATATTGCGGTGGCTCATTTCTCTCCTTCCTGGAGTGACTTTCCCTGCTATATTGCTGACTGTGCTTTTTCCTCAACCATACGAGACGCTCTGATCCCACATCAGTCTGATGTCTTGCGTTCCTCAAAGAAATGTCTGTTCAGAGGAAATTGTGTCCTTGTTGCGTAGCCAGGTAGTCTGCCAGGTGGATAGTTGTCATTTGGATAGAAGTAAGAAGAAAAGGCTCACAGAAGTCTTTTATTTTCTTTACATTTTGTGTTTGCCGAGTAAGAGCTGAAGTGGGGTCATGTTAAATGCTTGAGCTAGTTTCAAATATTAATGCCTGACTCGTGAAACATGCATGTGGGTTGTTTCATATAATTTATCCTCTCGGTGGAAGTTTGTTTGAACTGGAGAGACTACAGCGCTGGCACTCACAGCTCCTGAGCTGTAAAGTCAATACACCCCCCCCAGCACTGGATGGCCAGCATTGCCCATGCTTTATCTGCCACAGGTGTCTTCTCCTGGAAGGACCGCTTAACCAAGATAAGAATAAAATAAGTACTTGTTCTGCTTTATGGGATTATCCCTACCGTATAGCTAACTTGACTTGTCAGACATTTCCACACAGACATTGCTATTCTCCTGATTATATTTTTAGAAGATAAGCTATATTTAGCTTTTCTCTTAGTAAGCAGATAGTAAACAAAGCCTCTCTGTTGTTTTTTTGTTTTGTTTTGTTGTTGTTGTTGTTGTTGCATTCAAGAGTGACTAAGCAAAAATAGTGTCTTATGCCAATAAACAAGTTTTAGTCAGTTTTTTTATAACTGGTTCAGTAGCCTTTCAGCTCCCTTCTGTATCTGAAAGTGTTTCTATAACGCTGTGGCGGAGTCACAGTTTTAAGCAAAGCTGGGTGGATCACAAGCTACCTGTGCTTGGAAGATGCCCCAGTGCCGCGGGCCTCTCTGGAAATGCTGACGTACCGCTTTCCCGGGAAAGGAGGGACTCAGCAAGAATCCATACAGCAGGCCTTTTTAAAATTTCCTTTCCAATTTTTCGACTCCTCCCTGTTTGAGGGTTCCCTGTGATTACTGACTCAGGAGCTGCGTCTGATTTCTAAGACTGCTAATGGGCAACCAATGGGCTTTCCTCTCGCTGGGAGCCCCAGCCCTTCTCACCTGACGGGAACCGGCTTACTGGACTCACAAGGCTTGGGATGCTCAAGGCTTTAACGAGATTTAAGATTTTTGTAATATTTAATACAGTAAATTCTTTTCAAGAATACGAATGTCATGAGGTCCTAAATATCATACATCATTAATAAATGGAGCATAAAAACCTGACTGACCAGGTGCAGTTGAAAAAGATGGTGGAATAGAGATTATTCTTTGCTATCCAGCCCATCATTCAAGGTTAACGGCGAAACTGAGCTTTTTTCTTAACAAAATGCGCTGAATGGGCGTTATTTCAATAGTTGCACTAAAAGAAAGAGACTATAAGAATGGAGAGCTTTACCACTACCAGAAATATTTTCACTCAGCACAAAAGAAGCTGTGAGAGTATGAGCAGTTACTAGATGAACAGGAGGTAAATAAAAGGTTCACCACAAAATACCTCCCGTTTTCCTTACTGGAAAGGAACATCGAAACTTTGTAGAAAGTGATCCAGCGTGAACAGTATCAGAGTTACCAATGAGGTCAGAAAAGAAGAGTTTTTAAGCCCTGGTACAGCTTTGCACTGGCATGAGGAAGAAGAGCTTCAATTTTGCAAAATTTCCTGTTTTATTTTCTTACTCTGAATCTCTTGCAACCCAAGGAAGCGAAACACAGGTAGCACATACAAATCTTAAAATCACCCTAAGTTTGCCAATAAAACTGAAAATACTAACGTTAGAATGACAGCGTAGCATTTGCAGTGTTAAGCCAGAAAGGAACAAGAAGTGTTTTTAAGCAGTTATGATTGCATATTGATTTTTAGCCTGTAAGGAAGATCCAGAGGCCTAAATAGAGTAACATCAGGTCAGCCAGTACTAAAGAATGATATTCTACCCCACTAGCAAATAAGATTTTTTTCAGCTGAACTGCATGCCTCGTTCTGCATTGTGAGATTCTTCATATTATTGTCTTCTTGAGGGTGCTAGATTCGAATGACACCTTCTTGGTTCCCTGGGTAATTTTCCACCAGCTCCTCAGTAAGAAATACCTGGGCAGTTGGTACTTGCCCCAAATCTTCAAATTTTAGCTGGGGGCGGGGGGCAGAGAGAGAGAGAGGAGACAAAGTATACGTATACATTGTGCGTTCATGTGTGAATGGTTGAGTTAATGGGAAAGATAAGATAGGGAGCCTGTGCAAAGGAGTTTATTTAAGACATGCACAGGCACAAAGGTGCACGTCTGGGATGAGCAACTGCAGAGAGGCATTTTAAAGGATGATTTTACATTTGCTCCTTTGCTCCTCTTGTTCTAAGTTACTCCCTCATCAGCAGTCTCAATCCTTCAAATTTGTTTTAACTGTCTTTTGCCACTGTTCTGCCCAAAGCTCCCCTCCTTTAAGGTGTGTGCTGAGCCCATGGTATCTGGCAAGCTTGACTTTTCTGGTAATTAGATGCTTTCATGCATGAGAAATTGTGACTACGTAAATGAGGTAGATGGTTGCAGTGCTGGTCTGGTGCTTAGTTCTCCCTTTACACCCATGAGATCTCTGAGACGCGTTTCCTGAACCTCACTCTGACATCAGCTAGACGCCTGCTGACACTGTAAAATGGGATCTCACATGGATAATCTCTCTTTACCAAGCAGCTGCTGGGCACTGCCAGGCTACTGGAAGATGGACAAGTCCGGCCAGATCCATTCTGAATTCAGGGTTCTGGCAAAGCCTCTAGATGTTGCGAAGCATACTCCTCTATATTTTTATGTGGGGATAACTTTCTTCAGTGATATATATTTAATGTTTCCCCTCTTCAAGACAAATTCCTTTTTTCTTTCCAGTGGGAAGGGATTTGTTAGCAAACAGTTTGGTGCCAATAGCAACAGTCAGAACATTTTGCGAGAGTGCAGTGCTGGTTAGGTGTGCTTTTCAAACATGGATTGAAAAAGCCTTGGTTTTATGCCAGCATCTTTTTTTTTTTACTTAATTAGATTGTGCAATGCATTTCAGTAACCTTTTATACAGAATCTTTTAGCCTGAAACAAACCAGTTGCCAAATAAACCAGTTGCCTTACCAAATAGATCCAAGAACATGTATAAGTTAATTAAAATAAAAATAAAGACATTTATTTTGTAAACGGCCTTCTCTAATCAAACAGGCCTTATGAGTAAATCAAAGTGTTTTCTCTATTGTGTCGCAGGCAAATTATACACCCATTCTGTTACTCCCATAAAAATGTATAAATACCACAGATTATTTGGAAGTCGTTCACTGCTGTCAAGTACCACAACTGCTCCACAGCATCTCTGTACAGTAGTGTCAGATGTTCAGCTAAGTTTGGGCAGTATGACACATGCACTCGAATAGGAGATTCTTCTAATTCAAAATGCCTTTCCAAACCGGGATGAGAATGAATGGTCAAAAAAGGTACCTTGCTGGAGACAGTTCCCTGCCCATATGTTCTCTCTTCCCCTTTCCGTCTTCTCATAACTTTCTGCTCTCACCCAGTGAGATCTTTCCTTGGCTAGAATGCAAATGGTATGAACTAGGCAAATAAATGTTTGAGACTGCAGTATTAAGTAGTCAGTTATTGGAGAGAAATCCCTGTCCTTAAGGTGTTTCTCAAAAGATTAGCAAACTTGCTACCAATGTAAGAGATAACTGTTTTTCCTTTTCATAACAGGATAAAATAGGACCCCTAGATCTTCAATGTCAGAGCCTGAAATGCAAATGTAGATAGGTATGTGTCTGGATAAGAACACACCTTATAAAATCATCCCTCCACACCATATTTATTCCACTATTTTGCCATTTTTCCTGGAGTGAGCAATTGCTGGAGACACCTTTTAGGTTCTGTGTGAAATCTTATGCCTTTTGAAGTCTCTCCCAATATTCATCTTTTCTATTTCCTTTCTCTCTCTGTCAATAGCTTTGATGGAGCTGTTTGACGTTAATTTTAACAGATTGCCCTTTTTTTAGGGATACATGATATTGGGGGCAGAGTAGTGCCAAATTCACTATGCCAAAGGGGTCGTCTTCTGTGTGCTTGCTGGTCTAAAGCCAGACTTGTGCTATTGACTGAAATTCTGTGGTTCACCCTTGTTAGCTTGAATCTACACGAACGTGCTTACACCAAAGTGCAATTTCAGGTATGTGAAAGCAGTCTGGAAGATGGGAACACTCTCTGGCTTTCCCAGAGCATAGACTGCAACTGACCCTTGGGCACCACCCTTCCCATTCCTGACTGCACGGATCATCTAACAGCCCTGTGGCAATTGCAGTTATTAAGAACGGCTAGGAAAATATTTGCAGTTAAAACAGTGTAAGTGATGAGTGGGCACACAGCAGTATTTATTTAGAAGGCCTCCTTTAAGTTTCTAGTACAGTCTCAACCTACAGGACCAGACAGCTTTCTGGAGACTTCTAGCAAGGCTAGGGAGAATGGGGAATCATCCCTTAGAGGAAGGACATGTACCAAAGCTAAAGCTTTAATGAACAATTAGCCATGAAGCAAGAGACAGGAAAGATTATTAAAGGCCTGTCTGAGAGTCAGGAGAGCCCAGAGCATAGGCAAAGTACCTTGTAAGTTGGCACATTTTAAGAGTATCAATTAAAAACAGATTAAATTCATATGTGATCCAATTTGACTCAATATGCGTGGGTCACCTTGACCTACCCAGATTTCCTCAAGTGCTCCTGGTAATACTGGCTCCATGTAACACGTGGCATTGCCAGCTGTCACTTGAAGATGATGGCTATTACTGAACCACTCACATTTCCTTGGTTGGACATGGATGAGACCTTCCCTGCTCCTCAGGAGCTGCTGGTGTGCTCTGAAGCTGAGTGGGCTTGATCAGGTCCTCCCCTCCTCTCGCTGTAGGTTCAAGCTGCCCAGTTCCCATACTGGTGTCCAGCCTCCTTCAGTAAGGAAATCAGGGCTCTGACCCAGCCCCACCGCAGCAGGAGGTAGAATTATACTCTGTGAATCATCTCTCTTCTCCCTTTTCTGTTTCAGAATGACGATGGACGCTCTGCAACTAGCAAACACTGCCTTTGCAGTTGATATGTTCAAAAAACTATGTGAGAAGGACAAAACAGCCAATATTATTTTTGCCCCACTGTGTACTTCAACGTCTCTGGCTCTGGCATATAAAGCTACGAAAGGTGATACTGCAGACCAAATGAAACAGGTAAGCTGTCAGCATCCTGTTCTGTGGCTGCAAAATTATATGGCTGTTGGAGGTGGTTCTCTTACTTATTCTTGTTAATATTCTGCTGGGTGTCTGGTTCCCTTGTAAGCCAGGCTGCAAACCATCCATCCAAAATTCCTGAATGATTCCAGACTCCATGGCCCCGCACAGCAAAAGAGGTTGAAAATCCGGCATAAAGAAAAAGCTTTCTCAAGCGCGTACAAGGTGGAAGGGGACATGGCAGAGTCCTTAACAGTTGCGTTAAAGGCTTGTCTCCTTTTAGCGTAGTGTTGATTGTGGCTGCAAGTCATAATGAAGATCAGTGCATTTGCTGGGTAATTGTTTTTTCGTTATTCAAGAATACCTAAGCTTTATAGAAATGGAAATAATTTTGCCATTATCTGTCAGCAGCAAGTATGCTTAGCAGCCCTGTCACTGACATTTCCCCTTTCTCCTGCAATACGGCTAAGAGGAGGCTAATGCAGTAGAAGAGGGCACAACGTGAATGTTTCTCCTTACAAGCAGCTCATGTGTTCGAGGGGTTTCCAACACCACGATGCAGCATGGCAGTCATGATGCAATCAGTTTATCAAGCTCACTCTGTGATGCAGGGAGGCAGCCTTGCAGCCTCTTCTGCTGCCTCCCTGTGAGCAGAGATTTGCGTAGTTCCTTTTTATCCCAGCGAGGATGCCCACGGTTTCTGCAGTTACCTAGAGGTGAATAAAAAGCAAATTCAGTATGCATTTATATGCTGATTATCACCTTGCTCTGAGGGACCTTCTACATATTTGAATACATTTTCCCTCCTTTGGGAATTCCTCCCTGTACTTCCTCATTCATTGAAGGTACCCCCGAGCGCAGCCTCCTCTGCCCCCGCTCATGCCACAGATTACAATGAGTCCTGTGCTACTCACAGAGGTGCAAAGCAATATATCCACAAAGGTCTTCTTGGCTTTGCAGATTTTTCCAAACAGGATCGTTTTTAAAAAAATTTTAAAAATGAACTCTAGCTCTTTTTTTTAAATTAATTTAAATGACACCTTGCAGCTTCCTCACCATTTCAAAATTCAAGTGCCAGGTTTCTAATGGGACAGTTCAAAGCATTAACCTGTGCTTAATTTCATTTTCACTTGTGTCTGCAATTTGCTTTGAACCATCCCATAATAAGCTGATGTACACATCTATAAATGGAGTTCTGTTACACAAGCGCATTTATGTTTCATATTTCTCAAGTGGTATATAAAAAGTGCTGGCTACAGATACTAAGGAGAACTTGGTATGTTTTAAAATGTAATATCTCCTATTTTGCATGTCTGTTCTAGCTTCTGCCTGCCCCTGAGTTCATGCTTGGGTTTTAAATACTAGATACTAAAGGAGCCAGCTTGGCAGTCTTACTCTGGAATATCAGTTAACAAACTTGTGCTAAAAGCTGTCCCAGGTAGAGAAGTTGTAGTAGCATAGCTTTCTCCCCAAACATAGCTTCCAGGTGCAGAATTGTTTTCTGCAGTTAACATACTGAAAAATAAAAGCGTTGGAGGAAAAGGAAGTAGGTTGAGAAAGTTGTTTCTGAGGAAATGGCCGTGGAGTTTGGCTGTGAGGGATGTGCTGTTGCTGTGTCCTTGGGAGCTTATTTCCTTCTGCTCCCGCTGAGCAAGGAGAGGGGAGGACACTGAAGGGTGGTTAAGGCAGAGCAGCAAATTGTTGTGTCTGGGAAGATAACGGTGTGTTCAGGGAGAAAGAGCAGGAGTGAGGGACAAAGGGAAAAGAAGGTTGCTATTTGAATTTGAGAAAGATTGCCTGTAATGAAACAGCTACCGCTGAAGACCCTGTAATAAGCAGGCATAGAAGTTCAATTCGTATTTACAGGGTTATTTCAAACAAAACCAGCAGGAACCTCTCCCCTCTGGTGCCTAAAAGCAGTGAGTTTTAGGTCACCCCAAAACTTCCTAGAAACTGGACCTGTCATTCCCAGGAGCTGGGATGTGGCCATGTGTGGGTCAGCAGCCCTACCTCCAGCTCATACTTTGTCTACCAAAACAGACATAGTTATCTGATCAATTTTTGCTGAAATATCGTGTGATGTCATGTGTCAGTCACAGCAATCAGAAAACTTGATGATCTATTAAGCATTTTTAAAGGCGTAGCCCACTTCTGGAAAGGAAACTAACTGGGACCCTCATTTATCTGGCTTAAAAGCTCCAGGTTTTTGGACAGGAATGTAAGTTTGGTGAAAACATTATGACTCCATACTACAGAGTTTTAATCAACTAAGCCGCATCACCAGCACGAACAGGTCTATTGATTTCTTTGGACTGCTCACAGTAAAGGAGTGTGCGTGTTTGGTTAAAGTTCTGGTAGGATCAGGTTTTTAGATTTATGTGAGGATGTCAAAGAAATAAATGATTTCTGAGTAACAACAGCAAGAGGCTGTGTTGTTAGCTTAAATATGAAAAGCCACAGCTCTGGTCACAAACTAGCATTATTTTTTGCTAAGCTGTTAGGAATATTTAGATGTTTAGATAATAAATTAAAAAAAGATGCTCAGTGTTTCATTATGTTCTTTTAACAGGTACTCCATTTACAGGATGTCAAAGATGTTTCTTTCGGGTTTCAAACAGTAACTGCAGATGTTTCCAAGCTCAGCTCTTTCTTTGCACTGAAAATGGTCAAACGGCTCTTTGTAGACAAGTCTCTTAATCCTACCACAGTAAGTACTGCAGAAAAGCCCCGGTGCTATGAATTGCTTGGCCAGCATGTTGATGGGTTATGGTGTCAGACTTCAATGTTATTTAAAATAAATTCTCTCACTTTTGGCTGTTACTTGACTAGATTCAGATGATGAACAACATAATATTCTCTGCTGCCATGGAAGTCTATAGGAGGATGAGTGTGCTGCTTGACCCCAAGCTGTGCAACTATTACAACGTTTGTAATTCTATCATTAATATGCTTTAGGTCAGTAGGCTCAGTAGGTTTTGAATGCAGTATAACTTCTGTGCCACATCAAGGTCTTTGCATTGTAAGTATGAGTGAAAAGGAGTTTTAAAACAAGTTGGTGGTGCAAGTGTGTGTCCAGTTCACACACCCAAGTAATTACTGCATGAACTGTAGTTTCCTTAATCTGTCTGAGGAGGCAGAAGCCTGGCTATTGAAACAACGCAGGTGAGGAAGGTGGTGTTTGGCCTTATAACTTATGGACCTTACAAATAACTGAGAAAAATGTTGCGGTTTTTTTTTTCCCCAAAGTTGCCTTTGAATAGGGCCCCAAGCAAGGACAGCATCAGCCTAAAAGTGATGTTTCAGAAAACTCAACGTGCTTAAGTGATGTTGTAATCAGATTGCCTGCTGTTCAGCCTCTGCTACAGCAAAGGCCAATACCCATCCACAGCAATAAACGTCTCATCTGGCAAGGACAGACATGATGTGAGCAGCCCGTGGCCTTTATCTCAGTCCTCTCTCTTACCCAGGTCTGGACTGGGGGTTGGTTTATCCTTTCAAACTCTGGCAACCTGCTCACTCTTGCAATACCAAAGTTACTTTACCTGCTGATGTAACGCCCCCGGACTGAAGACACCCTTGGGAGCGACGTGCTGAATGCAGCTGTGCATCCTGGTTGTCACCCGCTGTTACTCGGTAGCGGTCCATCATAATAAACTCCCCAGCTGCCCCGTGGTGAAGCTCGGGATGCTGATGTTGCGGGCTGTGTAAAGAGCCATTGAATGGATGGCATTTAACCAAGGATGACTTTGGTAACTTGTGTCTTTCAGGACTTTGTCAACTCCACAAAGAGACCTTTTCCATCTGAACTGGAATTAGTGGAGTTCAAAGAAAAAACTGAGGAAACCCGACAGAAGATCAACAAATCTCTTTCAGAGCTAACTGATGGTGGGTACAGCTTAACCTTGGGGATGCTCGTTGCCTCTTTGAAGAAAGAGATCTTTGTCCTCGTGACACCTCTTTACTAATGCTTTTAGAAATAAATACATAGTGAAAGCAATGGGACTAGACCTATTATTTGGATTCATGAGGATTAGCAACGTCAGCCTGTTTTGAAATCACTAACTTTACTACTGCAGCATTTCTGAAGGTGGAAATATGAGACTGATCTTGCATTAGCCTTGGGGAAAGCTGCTGACAGCTTTGACTGCAGCAGGAGAGTTTGAGTGCGCGACAGCTCCTGGCTGTGAAGCTTCACAAACATCTGACATCAATACGTGGAACCCAGGCCGTGGTTTCCTTTAAAAGTTTTATTCTAATGGGAAGTATTTTCTGGACTCAGGCTGTTAATTAATAGTGCAGTCAGCTCAGCTGCTTTGCTGCTTTTGTCAGTAAGGGTGCCACAGGTGGATGTGCGGCTCTTATTTGGAGGTGCCTTCCTGTGGAAATGGGGCTGCGGACGCTTCTCCCGCAGTACTGCTGAGCCACCAACCGCTGGGCCGAGTCCCAGGAGATGCACATCCGTGAGCGTGAGGGTCCCCGGGCAGAGCCTGCCCTGCCTGTGGGGGGCAGAGGTCCAGCCCTGGCCCGTGCGAGCATGCAGCACCCATAACCGAGCCTATTTGCAGCCTGCGCACAGGTAGCGCTGGGGTCGGTTGCTGCCTGTTGCCCTCGTGTGGTACAGATTCGAAAACATGGGTGCGTGAGTCACCCCTGGTCCTTCCCAGGCTGGCACAGGTGCCCGTGGGGAAGCACCTTGTGCAATTCGTGTGTGAAGGCAGGACTTGCCTCCCCAGTGCTCTGAATTCAGTGTCTTTTATGGCAGTGCTTGAACAGGTCTAAAACATAGCGAGGGGGACATAACATTTTCATACTCTTTTTGAAGTCCGTAGCAGTATTTCGTTATGAACCGTAATCAGAGCAGTATTTTTTGTTATTGTGGTTAGTTTATTCTCATCTATCACTCTAGAAATGAGTAGCTGCTAATCTGGAACTTCCCTTCAAGTCGGGCTCTCCAAATGACAAACGATTTTTCGCTTACACCTGTTAAATTTCACTGAAAATTCAGTGCTTTCTTTAAGATACTAAACAAAAACTATAGACATGTTTTTGATTCTATGCTATATAAGCCAAGAAAAAAGTGTCATTTGGAAGATCTGTCTTGATCCCAAATCCCATTTCAAACATTAAACTGCAATTTTAAGTAAGTGCTTCTTTTTGGAGTTTCCCATTAGAATTAAAATCTCCTATTGGTGAGGTGCAGGACACATTTCAATTCAGTGAAGTGTTTCCATATTCAGTTGAAGCAATTGATAGATTGATAATGTATTGGTGAACTAACAACCAGCTTAAACCTGTTCACAGGCAAAATGGAGAATATTTTGAATGAGGATAGTGTAAGTGACCAGACTCAGATCCTCCTAGTTAATGCAGCTTATTTTGTCACAAACTGGATGAAGAAGTTCCCAGAGGCAGAGATCAAAGAATGTCCTTTTAAAGTCAACAAGGTATGTTCTGAAAAAAAAAGAGAGTACTGTTTCCACTCAATAAAATGCAAACTTTGAGCAAAGGAAATCCCAATAAGAGAAAATGGGAAATGTTTATTATTACTATGGCATTCTTAGACTCTTTATCTAAACGTATATGCTGTTGCGAGGGTCCCTAAACCAGATTGCTTGTCATGTTGTTTTAAACTTAGCCGGTGTTTTCACATCCATCTTTCAAAGGCTGAGTGTGAAAACAGACTGTCCTGTTAGTATATTTAGACAAAAGCAGCTGAGTACACAAGTGACGAGAAGCCGCCATTGCCTGCAACAAGGGGCTGCACATTCTCATGGGTAGCTGCTTCCAAGAGATTGTAGCCTGTACCAGAGGCTGCATCCCAAAACCAGCAGGGGTAAAGCACAAAACATTGCATGTCTCATGGTCGCAGAGCTAGTGAAACATCTGTACACGAGGTGTCCTTCGGTGCCTGGCCCTGTGCTTTCCTCCCCAGGGATGGCACCCCATCAATCTCCCTCTTTACAGACAGGCTCAGGACTGCAGCCCTCTGCGTATCGGCCCTGCTTAGCTACTAGGTCCAAGTGGGTGCAGCACCCATGGCTCTTGCCTTCAGGAATCTGTGGCCAGCGGTGAATATTGTGCAGCTTTAAACCAAGATACAAAGCTGGGCAACGTTTGTGAGATAAAGAGATTATACTCCAAATATATATGTGTGTGTATATATATATGTATGTGTATGAGAAATGTTGGAGTTTCAGGTTCACTGAAAATATTCATAAATTACCACATCAGCCACCAGTTTCAGCTAAAGAAGTTTTTAAAATTATACAATAAACAATAAAATTTTTAAGTGAAACATCTCAATTTTTTTTCCCTAAAGTAACATTTTTCTACTGAATTTGAATTTTAAAATGAGTTTCCAGGTGAACAGAACAGTTTGTAAATCTTCCCTATGAAATAAAGAGTTTTGTTTTGTTTCATTCATCAAAACCAAAGACATATGGCTTTAGGTAAGCCTGAAATTTCTTCTTATTCTGTTTCAGCTTCTGAACAAAAATATCAGTTATTCATATGAACAGCTTGACCTTCACTGTTGAGGTGTGCTCAGTGCTTTACACTTACTGGCATTACGATGCCCTGTAGACGGTATAGTTTGTAGCACTCAGTGAAACAGGCATGAAGGGCCACCGATATTAGGTAAATTTCTCTTTTAAGGCACATCCCCAATATGTTGCTATTGTATTAAGTAGACTTCTGTTCCACTTTTCTTTGGAAAGCTGCCTACTGTAGAGAGCCAACAGCTTTCACTATAAGAGTCTCTTAAAGCTCATTTCATTGCCTATGAAAGCCAACAAATTCCCTGATGGTAACTCAATGTACCACTTACATGCCAGCTTACAAACTTTTCTCTCTTGCTGTCTTAGTTGTGAATGAAAAGGAATGCTAGATTGTTTCCTCTATGCTTTGCAGACTGAAACTAAACCAGTGCAAATGATGAATCTGGAAGCTACTTTTTGCCTGGGCTATGTAAAAGAATTAAATGTTGCCATCCTCGAGCTTCCATGCCTTAACAAACATATAAGCATGCTCATTCTGCTGCCCAAAGAGATTGAAGATGAGACCACTGGCTTGGAACAGGTGAGAGAAAAAAAAAATTAGTATGATGCTTCCCTTGGAAACAGCCCGCTTGTAATGCCGCATGCTTATGGAAGGTTTTTGTTATTTAGACGCTATGTAGAAAGAAACAGAAAGTAAGTTTCCTCTGAATTTACCTTCTCATTCTGCTTCTCTGTTCCTGATGTCATATTTGTGACATCATAGTTTCCACTGTGGCCTAGTGTGAGGTTGTGAACAAGACTTTGTTTTGAATAGGGCCTGCACAGAAGGCAGCGTAAAGTGCAGAAGCGCCCATGATGTACTTTAGGAATCTGCATCTATTTGAAAATCTGGCCCAAAAAATTAATTTTCATTTAAAGATTTTTGTTCTTGCTATAGTAAAGTGCTTAAACTCATACTTACCGGGTACTCAGTAGTGCTGACTTTATTTACTCTGGTGTCCTCTTTTTTTTCAGTTGGCATATATCTGTGATTTTTTTTGCTAAGGTCTTACACTTCTCTAGGTTTTAATTTTGAGCAGAGGTGTCTGAAAAAGAGCCATTTTTATTACAATTGCACAAAAATTTGAAGAAGAATAGGTCATTTCCTAAAAACAACTATTTCTTATGTCATTTCTCTATGGAAATTATAGAACATATTTTCACCTCTCTTCAAAATTTAAGGATTAAGAGATGGATGATCACGCAAGTCTCCTTTGTAATTTGCTGCAACTGGCCATAAATTTTCAAGGCAGGAGGACTCTGCCCTTGCAGCTCTAAGGTACATTTATAGGTAGGAGTAAATTACAGAACACGCGTATCTTAAAATGCAAGTGAGGCCATTTCTAATACCAATTTGTTGCGGCCTCGATTCTGCCTCCTCACCCCACAGTTTTTAAAACATTGCTCGAACAGCTGCATGTTTGATTGAGATCAGGCTCTGGACTTGGAGTCGACTTCTGTCCCAAATACCAGCAATTTCATTACTGTGTAGGGTCAGGAATCAAGACTTTTGGATCTGCCAATTGGCCGGGTGTAGGCTGGGTAGGGGCTGTCTTTCTCAGGTTCCTTCATACAGTTGTTGAGGTGATTGCGTATCAAAAGCTTGTAAGGGGCTAATAGTCAGAGCATGTGCGTTCAGTGGCGTTGCTCAGGAGGCCTGTCCTATGGATTAAATCATACTTGCATCAATATGACTGAGAGTATGTTAACCCTGAATGCTACAGTTGTGAATTCAAAAGCAAAGGTAGCCTTTTGGACTTTGTTTTTTGGGGCTTGATAGGAATGGGAAGTTCAGGAATGGTCTTTTTTTCTCTCTCTTTCCTTGGACTGCTCATTAATTTCCTCCATTCCTTTCTGTCTTCAGCTGGAAAAGGCACTCACCCCCGAGACATTATTACAGTGGACCAATCCCAGCATGATGGCCAACACCAAAGTGAATGTATTTCTTCCAAAGTTTAGCGTGGAAGGTGATCATGACCTGAAGCCACTTCTAGAAAGCCTGGGCATGACAAATGTCTTCAATGAGAGCACATCAGATTTCTCTGAGATGTGTGAGAGCAAAGGTGTGGTTTTGTCGAAGATCATCCATAAAATCTCTTTGGAAGTAAATGAACAAGGTGGCGAGTCCCGAGAGGTACCAGGATATCGGATTCTGCAACACAAAGATGAATTTAAAGCTGACCATCCATTTATCTTTTTGTTTAGGCACAACAAAACTCGCAACGTGATTCTTTCAGGCCGATTCTGCTCCCCTTAAGCAGCGCGTATTCATTATGAAAAAGCACAATTACATTTATGGTGGTGCATGTTCCTGTAAAGCTTGGCATCCTGGCTATCACCTTTGAAAGGAAATCTAAGAGGTTCATATATCAGCTGGGTAATACAATGTACTCTACATATGCAGCAGAATTAATTTATCTCCTTATGTTTCATCCCCTTAAGCTGAAGGATTCCCGCTGTGAAGAACACATCGTATTTTACTGAGAAATATCCCAGCCTCAGCAACAAGTGTATTTTGTTCCTCTGTGACATTTTTTTCCCCAAAACGAAGTGAATTGAGAGCCTGTTTTAGATAGACCAGGAGTTGGAAAGGGCTCTGGGAGGAAGAGCTACATTACTGCTCCCTAGCCAAACCATTTTCCCTCATGACCCACGCTCTGTGGATTCCTACTGCCTAGAAGGGGGAAATGTGGACATGTGGTGTGATAGCCCTCCCCGTGTACCTGGCTACACTCTGGTGGTCCAGGGTGCCCTGCTGGACCCTGCCAATGCCCAGTGAAACAGCGCCCAAGTTCTGCAGCGTAGCTAGACAATTCAGGCTGGCACCAGAGTTTGCATCTGTGAAACAGCAGCTGCACTGAGACCTATGGATGCAAGAGGCAATAATCATGGTGACAAAATGTATACCCAGAAGACTCCTCAGCGTGAGCTACATCAGTTCACAGACTGGGGAGGTTGGACTCTGCTGCATGGGATTTTTTGACTCATTGCCCTTCAGACATGGAAGAGGGGACCAGTTCACTGCAGCTACGAGGAGCCCTGTTGTATATATCCTGAGAAAAAGAACGTTATGCAATTCTAGGATAGAAAACAGTTGGATTAATACTGGAAGTGCCATACTTTTCACACACAGATTATCTGCCATTTCGAGTTCTGGATGCAGCATTAAGGAGACTCCATACAATTATTTAATGCCTGAGGCAGGAGAAAGAAACAAGGACTTCAACTTGAGTGAGATTAACGTTGTAATTACCAATCTCCAAATTCCATATGAAATCATGGTAATCAGCTTTCATTTCTATCTAAAGACTGCCTGCTGCATATGTTCAGTACTGGTTTACCTAATTACTGTTCAGAATAAAGCACTATAAAACCCATGTCAAATGTCTGCAATACCTCCAGTGTCAGTCTGTGTGTTCACTCTTGTGTGTTCACTGACAGCGTCAGTGTTCACTCTTGACCACCAATAAATGATAGGAATGGAAATGAACAGATTCACTTAGGCCGCAAAGTCAAAATAAAAAACTAAATCAATGTCTGGATTGCCCTTCTGGACCACATGATGATAGTTCCCAGTAAGGACTATGTTACTACCTGGTCACAATATACAGAGAATTCAATTATGTATCCTCAAAAAATGGGAGCATTTTACTTGAAAATTCCTCTCGGTGCTTCAGGTCTGAAAGAAACTGGAAAGAGATTTCTAAATAGGAACATGAAACCCCTAATATGCATACCTCTCTTCTAACACCAGAGAACAGCACGGTGGTTATTGTGAATTTGGAGACAGGAGTTCTGTTTTGATTCTTGACCTTGCCAACCCACAAGAAGCCTTTAGTCACAATGATTCAGTGGTTTTACCAGTTTCCTTCCCTCTGTGGACCTTTAATGGGCTCTAACACATTTTAATACCAGAGGGTTAACTGGAGTCATTGGCCCATATCTTTAAAGGTACTGAGGGGAGTAACTTACACCAGAAACAATGGGAGGTGAGACCCTGCAGACCTCTGGGGGTCTTTGCTGATACGCATCAGGTGTCCTGATGCATGGATAGTAGTCAGAAGAAGAACACAAAATATAACAATTACTTTGCAGCCCATCCTGTCTGAGAAGGAACTGCCTGCAAAGATGTTTACCAGCTCAATAACTTCAGTGATAGCTTAATGTCTGGGAAATGTTTTATACACCCCATCATTATCTGATCTGTTTTGGAGGCTGGGGTCAGAGTTATCCAGAGCTGTTGTCACTGTGGTTTCTACTGGTTCTCCTGTAGGAGGTGGGTCAGGGCGTTGCATGTGGAGTTGACGACTGACTAAGCAGCTGTACAGGCAGTCCATACATAGGCAAGATGGACTAGTTGCCTATAGTCTGTACAGTTTGGTTGGTTTTGGGCACTGACTCTTGGTCACGTAGTTCCAGTTGTCCAGCAGGCCATATCACACTTATTGCTACATCTGTGCTGGTCTGCTAGGCTGAAGAAAACCTCTGGCAGATTGCCCATCCCATCTTTTTCTGCCTGGATGAGATTTCCTGAAGGAGGACAGCTCAGACATCACTCTCTCGGCTTTTTCGGATTATGAAAACATTCCAATCCAGGAGCCAGTCTTCATTCAATGGAGGTCATAAATTTGATCAGAGCGTTTAGTACATCCACACAAATTTACGTAAGCATGTCTTCTCAGAGAGTTCCTTGTGATAGCTTTGCCAGGAAGGGTTATCCCATGAAAGCAGAGAGAAACACTGCCTCAGGGTGGGGCCCATCTTTCTCCACCTCCTGACTAATAGCAAGGTATCCTAGCCTATGCAAGGCAAGCAGATGTTAGAGATACAAAGCCGTCTTAGTCTACAGAAGGCAAACCCATTTATTGGTCATTTAGAAACAAGGTAGCTTGCCCATGAAAAGCTCAGGTTCTTTTTTCACTTCTGCCTCTTCTCTCTACCAGTCCCACTATGAAACTTATCCATCTTGCAGCACGTGAAGGAGAAGTACCAGTAAGGCCCCTGCTGGTGCGAAAAACGCTGTATGATCTATTGTTCGTTTCCACTCATGCTGGCCTCTGGGCCTTGGGCAAGAAATTGCATGGGAGGACATGGGAAAACGTGTGTGGGAGCTTGTGTATAGGAACACTTACATGCTGAAAGGCGTTGGTTACGATGGAGAAAGTGAACATAGCTGAGGACTTGCTCAGATCGCCAAGCTGCTCCACCTCACCTTTCAACAGAGCATTACTATCCAGTGATGGGTGATGGCCCTGATGGAAAAAAGCAAGCTGTGGCTGGCTTTTGCAGGCAGTTGCAAACTGCAGTGTTACGTGTCTAGTCATCACATCACTTGCTCAGCTGCACAGTCATTGCCCACTCCCTGCTCCCAGCATTTTGTGGAAGAGAAGGGATACATCTTAATGTCTTGTGGTAACAAAAGGTGTTTGTGGGGAAGAGCAGTTTGGTTTTGAAACTTGAAAAATGCTACGTAGAGCCAATTGGCCCCATTGGAAAAGCAGTACTGTTTTGAACCTTGAATATACTATCCTGAGGGCCTAGAAAAGACAGAATTTGCACATACATTGACATTTCCTGAGGCAAAGCAGTTAAACTGATGTCAAGGAAGTTCTGAGCAAGTAAAATACATAGAGAGCAAGTAAAATAAATCAGTGGAGGAATGATGTTAATATGGGAGGGAGGGAGAAAGCACAGGGATTGGAAGAAGGAAAGTCTTGGAAGATACTCGAAAATACTTAGATTGCCACTGAAAAGAGGCTAGGACTCATAAAGGCGGAAGAAGAAAATATACATGGTAAGGCAATGTGCAGAAATAAATTAAAAAAAAAAAGATAAGAGACAGAAAGAACTGAGGAGAAAGACTACAGAACACTACAGAAACATGAAGAAAGGAAAAACATAAGTAAAGACGTGAATGGCAAATGGAAGCAAAAAAGCGAGGAAAAGAATAAGAATAACAAGAACGCTCATTTTATCATTGTATCTTGCATTGTTTACAAATCCCTCTTTTCGGATGGGCACTGAAACACTGAATCCCGGGCAGCTGGGCTGAGACCTTGGCAGAGGAGCAGGGAACAGCAAAGCTGGTGGGAGCTGTGCCTGAGGAAGAGGGTGGCCCAGCTCCAGCACTGGAAGGGAAGTGTGGGAAGGGCAAGATGGTGCTGGGAGACCTTCTTCCTCTTTCCTCCTTTTTTCCCTCACCATATCCGATCCCTCAAATATCCTATGAATCCAAAACCAGTTTTATGCTTTGTAGGAAGAATGAAGAGTTGAGAAAGGAAAGACAGAAAATTTTCAGGGTTGCAAAGCCACATACAACCTTAAAGGACTTAATTTTGACCCCTGAGTCCAGCTGCTATAACCCAGTGTTGCACCTGAGCTCAGTGGTGCTGATTAGGGGAGATCGAACACTGTGCTGGTGCAGCTCCATGCTTCCCATCTCTTGACTTCCATCTCACTTTATGCTGGAGACATAACCTATGTGATCAACGACTCCTGGCAGTCTTTTATTCTTAGCTCCAACAATTTAAAAAAATACCCCCTGGCTGGGGATTCCTGTTACAGTTCAAGGAAATACTACTTCTTCTTTCTAATTAAGCTCCTTCCAAACGCAGAAAGCTGACTCCTTACCTGAGAGAGAGAGATGGCTGTAGGCAACATAAAGCTCATGCATTTCCCATTCATTTGCTCTATCTCTGCAAGCAAGCTCAGCTCCAAACAAGGCTGCTCTGAATCTTGGCATGAACCCTGCACACCCCTGTGTCCAGGCCAGACCCCATCAAATTTGAAAGGCACTACGCACACCAGTACAGCCATGGATCTCCAGGGTTAATGCCCAGTTTTCCAGCTGAGGGTGACTTGTCATTGCAATCAGGAGATGTTGCCAGCAGATATTGCCTGCCAAACTTGCTGGGCAGCTTTGAGAGAAATACTATTAGCATATTGCTAGATACAGGTTTCTCAGTCTTCTGCAGCAAAATTCATGTTGATGGCATTTGCATTAAATTGCAACACGCTGCTATCATCAACAAATGGTTAGAGGCTGAACTTTCCCACAAGACAGTGGTAGATTTTTGTAATACACTATTCACAAGAACGTGCTCCAGAGCTCAGCTGTTGTGCTCTTCATTTAACCTCTTCGGGCAAGAAGGTAAACAATTCTTTTTTTTTAAAAATAACTTGTGATTTTTTTTTTTGGCAGATCCAAAGTAGTCTACAGGTTGGTAAAGTAAACATCATGTTTACAGATGGGAGAGA